TCGGACTTTGAAGAATAGTATCTGCGAGTTTTTGTATCAGGGGGACGCACTAGGGGGCCGCTGGGCCGCTCACTGATCCGCTCTGCCCCGCAGGTTCCGGCAGTGCCTGCTGGCCATCAACGACACCATCTCCAATATCATCGGCGTCACCTTCTTCAGCCTGCTGGAGGTGCTGTGCTTTGTGCTGGAGAAGAGCGAGGAGTGTGTCCGGTGGCACTGGTGGGGAAGGTGAGTGCCCTGGGAGGTGCCCTATGCCTCAGCCCACGGCTGGGTGCATCTGCTGCTGCGGCCCCGAGCGTGTACTGCCTGGCTGCCTCACCGGCTGCAGGGGGACCTAGCATGGCCGTGGCAGGGCTGATGCATGGGGCCTCATTGGCACATGGTGTCCCCAGGTGCAAGCATTATGGTGTAGTACCCCTGGCCAGGATGGTGCAGCAGAGTCAGTACCACTTCAGCCTGCCTGCAGAGAAGACAAGCAGCCCTGCTGTGCAGCCCCCAGGCAAGGGAAGGAAGCCCTCTAGAGCAGGGTGCAAGCAGCTCCGACAGGGAATTGGGCAAAACCCGGTGCTCTGCCAGGCATGGAGACCTGCGACAGCCCAGCAGCCATGAGGCCCAGGTACCTTGTGCCCTGTGTCTGCCAGGGATAAGGCTGAGCCCACAACCAGGCATCCAGCAGCGCAGTGGGGACTGGAGCCTGGGCACCCAACAGCAATGACCATGTTGATACAGGACCTTGCTGGAGGAGGGCAAGCATGGGGAGGAGCACAGCAAGGGGCTGGGGGCTCAGCACACCCTGTCTGCACAGCCTGCCCTGAAGATGGCAGCATCGGATCCAGCCCTCCTGCGGAGCAGTACGGAGCCACCCCAGGGCCTGCCGTGGAGGGGTGCAGGCAGCAGGGTGAGTCGGTGCTGGGGGCAGAGCATGTGCCACAGCTGGGGTGTCCCGAGGCCTCAGCCCGTTGGGGATGTGGGCCGGGGGTGCCCCTCATTGCCCCTCTGTCCTCAGGCCTGGGCAGGGCATGCAGGTGCTACAAGCACCTGGATAAGTGTGAGCACCAGATCGCACCCTGTGAGGTGAAGTACCAGCTGCACAACGTGGATACCCAGACACTCTTCCACTGCAACTGCACTCGGAGGTCTGTGTCCAGGAGGAAAACTCAGGGCTTTTCCCACTATTACAGGGCACTGTGTGCAGATAGTTTGGGGTCAGACAGGTGGGACCCAGTGGGATGCCCACCCTGGCCAGCAGCTGCTGACTGCTGCCCTCCTGTGTCCACAGGCTGGTGTGGTTCCTACGCAGGGCAAAGGACCTCAGTGACATGGAGGTGGCTGTCCTGGCCAACCACGTTGCCACAGACTGCTTTGTTCTGGAGCCACCCGCTGACTGCAGCCTGGGCAAGGGGCCACAGCATAAATAAGTGCAGAGGGTCAAGGGAATATGGCCTGCATGAGGCTTCCTACCCTGCATGGGCAGGAGGGTTGCCCTGGTAGGGCTGGGTGCTGTACTTGCAGCTTTGGCATGAAGCTAGCATTGCAAGCATTATCCCCTGATTCTGCTGTGCCATGAGCAGGACTGGGGTGGAAAGCAATGGATGTCAGTGCTGCAGTGTTACACTGATGCTCACAGCTTTGCTTCTCCGGCAGCGACCCAGACTGTGCTCATACCTGCACAGCATCTCAAGAAGACCCTGAGGCGCTGGGGTCCTCCACGTGTGATCTCCAAGGCTGAGCGTCCAGACTGGAAGACAGGACAGTGGTGGCACCCTCTATGAGCAATGCCTGCAGCTGACCTTGGAGCAGAAGCCAGGCGCTTGGCACCATGCTGTGCGCCGATGATGCCTGAGAATCGCTGCCTCGTGTGGGGAGGATGATGTGCTATGCAGCAGCCAGAGTGGAGCTGCTTGATTTCTGGTCCTTGAAACAAAGGCTGGCAGTGAGCATGGCTGCATGGAGCTGGGGGCAGGCCCACAGCTGGAACAGGGGCAGGCAGGGGGACTGAGAAGCCTCTCAAGGAGCTGTGGCTACCATCTGACCATCAAAGCAAGGGGAAAGGAATAGGAGGGTTTGGGAAAGGGGAAACCCATCTTCTTCCTTCCCTGTTGTGCCCCTTCAGTGGGGGTGGGTGGGAGTGATCCTGGCCCCCTTCCCCAGGCAGGGTGGGAGGGGGTGCAGAGGGCAGCAGGGGCTGAGGTCTGTGCTGGCTCCCAGCCCTCGAGCGAGGTTGGGGAGCAGCAGCCAGGCCTGGCTGTGCTCTGCCCTGGGTAGGGGTCAGTCCCTGTGTGCAGCACAAGATAAAGGGTGGTCTGAGTGTGGTGTGTGGTACCAGGGGCTGATCCTGCCCGCCCCCCCACCCCCCGCAGTAAGCACAGTGCAGCTGGGGTGGGCAGGATGGTTTATTTTGTTGCTTACACTACGTCCAAGACTGAGGGACAGTGGTAGCAGCAGGGAAGGCACAAGCTTCAATCACTGGGGTACTCTGGGATGGTCCTTCCTCTGTGCCTGCCACCAGACCCCTGTCCCACCATAAGTGTGAGGCCAGCACTCCTCCCATAGGACTGAAGGGTCTTGCACTTTGAATTTCAGAAGGGGCTCCCCCTCACTGCACTAGACCAGCCTTGCCCTCCCCTGTGCCACCTACCAGGCCCCCCGCTTTAGGCTGCAGGGAGGCCCCTACCTGCCAAGCACACAACAGGGGTGAGGAGTCACTGCAATAAATAAGGGAGTGGGGGGTCTCAG